GGGTGTGTGCCGGGTGTGTGCAGGGTGTGTGCCGGGTGTGTGCAGGGTGTGTGCCGGGTGTGTGCAGGGTGGGGTCGGGCAGGGGTGGCAGCGGGCGGGCCCGGCTGTGCCGCCGGCGGCCGCCAGAGGGCGGTGGCGCAGCGGTGCGGGCCGGGCCGCTCCGCCCCCGGCGCTGCCGCCGCCCCCCGCTCTCCCCTGGAGCTCCCCCGCTCTCCCCCGGAGCTCCCCCGCGCTCCCGGGCAGGGCCATCGCCCGCCCAGTCACGGGGCCGCCATGTCCCGCGTGGGTGGTGCGGGGTCACCCTTGCCATGCCCGTGCCTGCAGCCGGTGGGAACCGGGAGCGGCTGGCCGGCGGCGGGCATGGCGGGCATGGCGGGGATGGCGCTGCCGTAGCTCCGCGCTGACCTTGCCGGCGGCAGAGCGGGAGCAGCGCTCCAGGCAGAGCCGCCCGTGGCCTGGCACCATGGCCTGACCTTCCCAGGACCGTGTAGTGCCGAGAGGGCAGCTGGGGCCTGTATCCCATCCCCGCCCTGGTACGGTCTCACCGTTGTGTCACCGTTGTGCCACGGTGACTGCTCCTGCTGGTGGTGGCATTCCCCATACCCATCCCGGCCATCATCTGTGCTTCCTGCCACCCACCGGGCCAGGTGCTGGTGGAGCGTGGGTCCTGCTGCTCGCAGGCGGGGTGGGGGTCCCGGGAGTGCCACGGAGCACGTGTAGGACATTGGGTGGTGTGGGATGTGCCCCGGGGGAATGGGACTGGAGCTGGCCTCAGGTATCCCCCTGGCATCTGGTGGGACGGGGGTGGCTCTCCAACAGGGGAAGGGTGCCAGGGGCACTTCTGTGAAGCACCGTGCTCTATGGGTGGGAAAAGCTTTCAGGGAATCGGGCTGCGGGGGAAACATGTGAGGTGGCTGGGCAAGGCCATGGCACGTGCCCTGGGCTTGTGCTGGCCCTCTGCCACCAACCATCGGGCCCCGGGCAGCCTGCAGCCCCAGGGGCTGGCCCAGCCCCATGGCAAACAGGGCTGAATTGGGCGAGCTGACCCTTGGACTGTGCAAGGAGCAGCAGGGCCAGTGGTCCCAGCGCCGCCCCGGCTGTGCCGCCCTGCTCCCGGTGGGACAGCCCCTCTGCCAGCACGGTGGGTGCTTCTCCCGGTTTGTTTCCTCCTCTGGCTCAGCCCTGCAGCCCCGGGCTCACTGCAGGCTGTGGGGCAGGTGGGTCAGTGCCATCAGCCCCCTGGCAGCGCCAGGCAGAGCGGTGCTGCCAGCTCTGCTGGTGCCACGGTCCGGGGACAGGAGCCCTGAGTGGGGTGCCGGGGGCTGGCGGCATGCCGGCGGTGGCAGGAGCCGCCCGGGGCTGTTTTCCTCTCTGTTTGCTCGGCCCTGGGGACGGCCAGCAGTGCGGATCAAGGCCGGCGTCCTTCGGGCAGCCAATTGTTGTCCAGCTCAGAGGGGAGGGAGAGGGGCAGCTGCCCCTGGGCTTTCCCAACCCTGGAGAGGGCCACCATGCCAGCACTGCCCAGCCTGAAACAGCACCCAAACACAAGGCTGGGTGGTGCCAGCAGGGACCAGGCAGTGCCTGCCAAGAGCCAGCAGCCAGCACTCCCCAGCTGCCCCCCGGATGGGACAGGCACCCCAATCCCACCACTGGGGCTGCGGGACATGGCAGCCTCAGTCCTGAGTGCCAGCACCTCCTTTTGTGCTTCCCTCACTGAATCCTTTCCCCTGATGGGCCATGAAAGGGCCTTTATCCCCTCTCCTGGATCACACCTGGCAGGAGCCTGTGGTGGACTCTCTGGCCCTGGGACTGACAGTCACCCCAGCTGGTGAGGGGGTTCAGGACAGCCCTGTGGGTGCCTCTGTAGGGAGCCAGAGCAGACTGCCCTTTCTCTGGGACTGCAGGGACCATCTCTGCTCCTTGGTCAGCTCTGGAGCGACCACAGCCCCCTGGGGAGAGGAGGGACACGGCTGTGGCCACGTCTCCATTTTTGGCCCAGTTATAAATAACTCTGAACAAGGATGCTACAGTTGTCTGGGCTGAAAGGTGTCCCTGGTCCTCCCCTGCTCCCCGGTCCCCAGCTCCCCAGCCATCTGCCACCCTGCTGCCCAGCCCTGGGCAGTGTGCCTGGCATCCCCCGGGGGGCCCCAGCCGGCTCCACGCCCCCTGACAGCTTGCAGGAAGCATGGAGATGAACAGGAGAGCCCTTCCCCAGGGGCTGGAGACCCCCCCAAAACAGCCCCACATTTCCTTCCACTGCCCCATGCTGCCCTGCTGGCCTTGCCTTGTGCCTCCTCAGAGGTTCTGGCAGCTGCCTGAGCTCCCTCCCTGTCCTCAGGAAGCCTGGGTGGCTGCAGGGTGGAATGCTGGGCTCCCTGAGGTGTGCAGCGCCCTGAGGCCTGGGGAGCTGATGGAAGGCAGCTCCCAGCCCGGAGACTCAGGCCCTGTGCACATGGGAGGGTTCCCCTGTGAGCAGGGGTCCCCTGCAGAGGGGAGCCATGTCACCATCCTGAGGGATAACTGCCAGATCGTCCCTCCAGTGGCTGATGGCACCCAACATCTCTTTGCCCACCCAAGAGAAAATACTGCTGGCCACATGTCTGCCTTTCCAGTGGGATGTGGGGAGCAACAGAGCCCAGAACTGGGGTCACTGGGGAAACAAGCCAAGACTCAGGGCAGCTGGGCACTGCGTGCTGGATGTGTCGGGAGCATCATGGCTGCTTGGGTTTGTTTGGCTTGAAAGGCATTTGAGTTGCATTTAAAGGCATTCAAGTCCTTGCTAAATCCTTGCTTAATTACCTGAACAGCATTTAAGCCTTTGCTGCAGGATTGTCAAGATGCAGAAACAAAGCCCCTGGCCCTGGTGGGGCTGTGGGTGCTGCCAGTGGGGATGGTGGGGACATGGCTGTCCTGTGTGGGTGGCAGAGATGAGCAGGCTGCCAGCAGGTGCCAGCACCTCTGGAGGGAACTGAAGGGACAGTCTCCCTGTGCCAACAGGAGCAGTTTATTCCCACATTTCATGGCTCAGGGCATCCTC